ATCAGATCCATTATAAGTCTTTGCTTCAATTTTGGATCGGTAAATTGTCATTTTTTGACCTAATTTTTCCAATTCTTGATAAGTTGGGTAGTTTATGATACTACAAGTTGATCCTGGATCAATCATGAATTCAATTTCAAGTCCACTATTATTATTTTTGTCCCCGGTGGCAAAATGATATAAGCTAAGATATATCCTTGATTTAGGATTACTATCATCGCTTGGTTTCGGAGACTTTAATAGTTTAAAGGAAAGAAATCAGTGATAGCATCACAGTAATTGACTTCTTCCTCAACCCAGTGGGTAGTTTCAGACTGTATTTGATTCGATCTAAAATTTGGTGATTGAGATCGCGTTGAGTCTCGACTGTTATTGCTATTATAGCTTCCAGTGTTATATGGTCGACCTCTAGGGTTACTATTGAATTGCCTATTTTCTTGGTAGTAGAACTGTTTAGCAACTTGTTCATTTTCTCTGAATTTGTTTTCTCTGGGATACCTATCATCATAGGTTTGGGGTCTTTTGTTATTGAAAGACGATTGTGCATTAGCCTTTTGGAAATTGTTTCCGTTATAGTTATAATTATGGCGAATGCCATAGTTATTTTGGCTAGGATTTGAATTGTTAGTAGTTCTGTTTTGGTTATCCCAAAACCGGTTACTTGGGTTAGGGTTACTCTGGTTAGGGAAGTTATTCGGTCTTCGATATCGTTTATAATCGGTTTCAAATGAAACTCTTCGTTCATTTTTTGTTGTGAGCTCTTTTCGCAACTTATTTACTTCGTCCTGAACTTGCTTTTTTGAACATCTAGATATAGAATGTCCATTCATTCTACAATATTCGCAGAATCGTGTACTATTAGGTCTTCCCTTGATGTCAGGGTGACGTCGTTGAAATGAAGTCTGGTCATTGATTGCACTAACTTCTTGATTCTTGATCAGTTTAGTTAGTTCTTTAATTTGAGATTCTAATGAAGTCATTTTATCCGTTGTTGACTTATTAGCAGGATCAGTAGCAACAATGAATGTTAGATCCTTAGTAATTACTTGATTTGTGAATTGATCCCAATTGGCATTTGGATGTTCTATCATGTATTCATGAGCTTTTTGTTTAAGGGCTAGAGGTCTTAGTACCTTAATTGAGAAATCGATATACTTTTGACTTCTTTGTCTGGTTTGTATAGTTCTCTCAGCATTTTGAGCAGCTTCAGTAGCATGAACGGTTTCATCAATACTTTCGGGCCATCCTCTATCTACAGAAGATTTGATTCTGTGGAAATAATTTTTTATTAATTCGCCATCTTGGCGAGCTGCATTTTCAGCATCAATTCTATGTTTGAATTGATCTCGTCCGTCAGTAAATCTGTTTAGGAAGAGATCTTTGAGTTGTGCCCATGTGGTAGCATTGGTTACATTATCATTGAACCATTCAAGAGATGTATCAGTTAACAATGATCCGAATAGGGATCGTTGTCTGCTATCATAGCTGCGTCGTGCATCATTATCAGCAGGTCTTTGACCTAATGAGAAAAGAATTTTGTTTTCAACTGAATTCCAAAAAGCTGTAGCATTTTGGTTCGGATCGTTTCCCGAAAATGTCATTAAAGACAAGTTGGGATGGGATATTGGGGTATCAGCCATTTTATATTTAGTTTAGAACTTAAAAAGAAAGATAGAAAAGTTTATAAATTTGTTTAGAAAACTTAAATTTCCGATTTGGAAATTTATTACTTCTCTTTATTTGTAAGAGAAATTTCAACAATTCTCCAGTTTGAGAATTGGAATCTTTGCTTTTTTATCTCTTTTTGAGACTTAAGCAATCTTTGCGAATTTTTAGAAGGTGAGCCTCACTGGTCGCACCAATTTACTACGCTAGCAAAACTTATATACGTCGGACAAAACGCTTGCTAGGAATAAAGGGTCCTTTCTACTTTCTATCTTAGAAAGTAAATCTAAAATTCGCTGAGAAATATTTTATTAAAAAAGAAGTTAGTATGAATTTACAGCAAGTTGCCTTTTGACTCAATATTTATTTTTTACGGTGAGATTGGAGATATTTTTCTCTGAGATTGAATATTATTTTAGAGAAGGGTTGGGGTGGTTGAGGAGAGTGGTGGTGGTGGTAGAAGAGAAGTTATTGGAATGAATTCCCGTAGTTTTGAGCTTCTATTTATACTCAGATTGGGAAATCACGCCACTTTTCGTATCAAATGAGAAGTTTCTTTTAACTTCGTATTCTTTATTCGTACATTCGTATTTTACGAGAAGAAGGTTTCGTATGCTCGTACTTTACGAGAGGAATCGTTATTATTCGTATTGAATGAGAATAGTCGTTTCAATTCTCAATGCTTAAAACGTTATACGAATTATTCCAATAGCATTTCCCTTCCTTTTGCAAGGGAATAAAAGCATATTTCTTTTGGTGGTGGCGGCGGCGTCACATTTTGTGAACGCAATAAAATAATTCATGTTTCTGTTTCTATTTGAAATCAGAACAAAATGAACATTTCTCTTGATTTCTATAACATCTGCCACGTATTTTTAATAAAAGAATTAAGAATAATATGATTGAATTTTTTCTTAAATAGCATGTATTTGCCGTGATAGCAAAAAATGATATGAAATAGTTTTTTTAGACACTTAAATCGATCTTTTAAAATGGATTTGAGTGAGATTTAGATGGACTTAAAATAGATTCGGATAGAATTACGAGAGATTCGTATAGATTTTGGTGAGTCGGTCATTCCATTCAAATCAAAAACCTGGAAACCTGATCTGAGCATCTTAAAATATTGACTATTTCAGACCTTGTCCAGAAATGGTCCTTGTTTTGTTTGGACATGGACCTGTCTGAATCAGGAATGAGGGAGGAATGGATTTGGTCACAAACGCACAACTGCTCAAGGCTTGATTCAGACCTGGAAAATAATACTTGTCACAAATGCAGACCTGAGTAGATTTGAGCCCACGCAGATCTGACTCATGTGATTTCCAGGTCTGAACCAGGCCTTGAGCTGGTCTGGATTTGTGACAAAAATTCATACCTACTTGAATCCTGATTCAGACATGTCCATGTCGAAACAAAATATGGACCATGTATGGAGAAGATCTGAAATAGGCATATTTTTAAGATACTCAGATCTGATATCCAAGTTTTTTTTAGGTAAGGGTAACGTACTAGTCTATAAAAATGTTCGTGAAATTTTTGAAAACTTACCAAAAAGCCACCTTATTAACAAGGGCAGCCAGTTAATTTTAAATCAGCGCTTGCTTCGACCAGGAGCGGATTTGGAATTTTTTCGAGAGGGAGGGTGTCGGGTTTTGTAATTTTTTCGAACTTTTTTTGGTCGATCAAACTGAGCAGGTCTGGATTCGTGACAAAAATATATACCTGCTTGAGACCTGATTCAGGCATGCCCACGTCAAAAAAAATATGGACCACGTGTAGGCAAGATCTGAAATATGCAAGTTTTTAAGATGCTCAGATCTGATCTCCAAGTTTTTGTTAGGTACGGGTAACGTACTACAGTGCTGATTTAAATTAACCGGACAAAACGCGTTAAACTTGAAATTTAAAACGCGTTTTTCTCAAATTGGGTTGAGTTTAGGTGAAAACTTATGAAGAAAAAACTTGCTTAAAATTTTAGCACAATTAAAATGGTTTAATCTTTTTTGCGATATTCGGGTCCAAAATTTTACCCTAAAAATGGGACATTTCGGCTTTTCTTAGTTAATAAAATATTACGCCGAAAATACCCAGTCGATCACAGACATAATTAGATCAAAGTGAGCCCCTTATGTAGTCCAACAAACTTTAGGAAGGGTATATTCTCCAAAACCCTGTATAAGTTAATTTATTTTTGTTTACTATATAAAATACCAGCTTTTTATATAAAAACATTTTTTTAACGTTTTGCAATTCTTGGAGAATATTACCTTCTGTTTGTTGGGCTGCGTAAGGGGCTCACTTTGATCCAATTATATTTGTGATCGACTGGCTATTTTTGGCGTAATTTGTTATTAACTAAGAAAAGCCAAAATGACCCATTTTTGGGGTAACACTTTGGGCCCGAATTTCGCAAAACAGATTACACCATATTAATTCTGTTAAAGTTTTAAGCAAGTTTTGTCTCCATAAGTGTTCACCTAAATTCATCCCAACTTGAGAAAAACGCGTTTGAAATTTCAAGTTTAGCTCGTTTTGTCCGGTTAACTTAAATCAGCACTGTAGTCATTAAAAAAGCTCGTGAAGTTTTTGAAAACTTACCAAAAAGCCACCTTATTAACAAGGGCAGCCAGTTAATTTTAAATCAGCGCTTGCTTTGACCAGGAGCGGATTTAGAATTTTTTCGAGAGGGAGGGTGTCGGATTTTTAAAAAAAAATGTAAATTTTTGTCGAAATTTTTTTGGGTCGATCAAATTGGTTTGTCGAGCTCTCTCAAAACACTATACAGACCACGTTTTTGCCATGTTTTCCGCCTATGATATTTTTTTTAAAACAGGGCCCTAAAATACCAATTTAGCATTTTTTAGTAATTTTTGACGGTAATTACTCTCAAAATTGGCGGCTTTCGAAAATTTTTAGCGTCAATCGGCTGAAAATTAATGTCATAAAAAAGCACCGAAAGGGGGACCCTTTGATGTTTCAGGGGGTCAAATGTCTGCAATAAAATGTTTACCCACCCCGCGTCCGCTCTTAGTTTCAATCACAGCCAAAACTAAATTACAATTTTATTTTCAACGAAAATCGATTGCTTATTTTTAACTTTTTCAAAGTGATATCAGTAGTGCTTGAAGTACCTGTTTTTGCGATAAAAAAAAAACACCGCATACCGTTTAGTTCCTTCTCATCCCTAGTGAGGTGGTCAGAACAAAAACACAATTGGAACTGAAAATCATGTCACCTAGATAACAACTCTAACATAGATAACAATTCTATCGAAAGCCTAAGGAAATATTATCAAATTTCAAAACCAAGATTGCGAGAAAAAAGAATCTCACGATTCTTGTTGAAAGACTTGGCCAGCTGTTCCACAATCGCCAGACATATATATCCGACTACAAACAGAAGTATGGCTGAGAACTGGATCGCATCTTGCCAGCCAGAAGAAGAAGAAGAGTTGTTGCCACTGTTCTTGAAGTAGGTGAAGGCGACCCCTGAGATGACCTGACCCACTGGCAGGGCTATCTGAGTGAAGGCACTGGCTGCCTTACACTGGCTCATCTGAAAGAGGAACACATAAGTATGTTTGTCAATTAGCTAAGACATTTCTTAATCAATAGGTTGGTGGATCGAGGCCCACCATGATCGATGATTGTTGCATGAAACTGCATACCAGAGAAATGACCCTAAAACGCATGAGGTTCAAACCAAGGGCACTTCAGCACCTCTGCATAGCTCTTATGTTGATCACGTCCTTTGTCGATGACTGTTACGAACTTAATTTACGAAAGTTAACTTTAGTTGACTCAGCATAACATTTTTTAACTCAAACTTAACTTTAACTTAACTTAAATTATCTTAACAATTTTTGAATATAATCATCAGATATTATTATTTTTCTCGATACTGGCCTGACTCTTGAGGGGGAAGTAGTTTTGGCCTTGAATTGAGACGGCGTAGTAGACGAAGTTGCAGCCGACCCCGTAGCCGATGCCCAGAGCGCAGAACATGGTCACTAAACTGGTGCACTTTGAGGCCAAGTAGAGACTCACTATGCACACGAACTGACCAAGCTGGAAAAGCCCAAAACAAATTATGCCCAAAACAAATTATGCTAATTAGCCAGGGACTCACAGAAATTGAAAATTGTGTAGCTACTTAAACTGCTGCTCTTAAACCTTGCACATTTGTTGCTAGAAGATGCATAATTAAAGAATCAAAATTAAAAAATTTTGTTGGTTTTTTTTCGATTTTTTTTCAGGAGTAGGGGCATTCTGTCTCAATTTGTTCAGACCCTCCTGAAATGCCAAAAAGACCCATTTTTCTTACAATTTTGTCGTCCTAGGCAACAAAATAAGCAAAACTGCCTTTTTTAGAAGGTTTTCTACCATCTAGGGTTCAAATGCCAAAACTAGGGTTTTCTAGGTCCACACCATGTAGGGTTCAATGTAGATTTCAAAAATCGAATAAAAAAGAACCGATGTGAAAAAAATTGATGTGAAATCAAAAAAAAACCTTAAAATCAGTCGCTTGATATTGCTTGAAGGTTCTTGAAAATTTGAGTGACAACTAATTCCATTTTAAATACTTTTGTCGTTCAATGTTTTTGCAGATTTTAAGCACATACGCACCTTGATGAAAGTGAAGCTATTTTCAGGCGTCACGAAAACCCCACTGATAACTGTAAATGACGAAGTCAGGAACCAGGCGGCTGAAATGATCCAGCCAATGGCAGTGGTCGAAGTGTCGAAGTGTTCACGCATGTCATCAATGATCAAACTCAGTCCGTACGTAGGGGACATCGCGGGAACCAACATCAAGGTCAGAAGAACAATCGACGCCCACGCTTTCAGGTCGACTCTCCTTGACGATGACGCCGCTTGTTTCTCACAAACAGGATTGCTCGTTTTGATGTTTCCAGTTTCGGATCCAGATTTGATACTCGATTTGACCAAAATTCCTTGGGTGCTCAAGGGGCTATCCTCAAATTGTGGAACGTCCGATTTGCTTGCCGAGGCTCTACTATCTAACTCCATTTCAGCTTTAGCCTGTTTAAGTTATTAATTATTATCAAAAATTCGGGAAAAAATAGGTCTAAAAGCAAAAGTAACTATAAATAGAATATTGGAATACAATTTAAACTGTTCATTATTGGACTGTTTCACAAACTGCTAAACAAAGTGATTTTGAAAGATCATCGTCACCGAGGGCTGACATCGTTATCTTTTGAAACCATGTCAAAAACTTCTCAAAGCAATTCTAACTCTAACTAAGTTAGATTAGGCTCTGAACTTCTTTCTCTGTTCTCTTTTCTGCATGCAGAGTATTGTAACTGTTCTTCTTCCAATATGGACATAGCAGATTATCTCAGTGTATCAACAAATATTCAAATATCGAACAAACGAAGTCATTTTGGTTTATGAGAAAAAGTTCCGATGCTTCAACCCTAGATGGTAGAAAACTTCAACATGAAAGAGTCAAAAGAAGTCTAAGAAAGAACGGGTGCAAAGTCGCTTCGAGATTCACACCCCTTGGTTCAGCCTCGGTTAAAATTGGCTTCAATCAACTTCACAGACCAAATTCATTGGAAACCGAGTTAAAAATGCCAAAAAAAAATCTTTTTTTAGATTAAAAATTGAGATTTGCACACGATAAAATTGTCTTTTAAGACTTCGACTCAAAAGTAACGTTTTTTTAGAGTGCGGTTTGTATTTAGACAATCGTTTATTCACACTCGTCAGTAAACTGACAAATATTATATTAACCAATGAGAATCGAGATGAGAATGCAAACTTACGAAATAAATAATTATTGTTTTTAAAATCTTCCTTGTCTCGTTTCTGATTGGTCAAAATTTGTCTGCTTTGTGACGAGTATAAATACGCTGTTGTCTTAATACTTCTGCTAGTTAGCCGTTTTGCTTTGTTTCGAGCTCCCGCATTACAATTGTTATATAGCACCAAATGTTTCTTTGGAAAACATTTAAGGGCTTAGATAAACTTCCAGGGTCTCAATTATGTGAGATTGAAGAACAACGTGCGGGTCGTTTTTGCTATACGGCCCAGGCCCTTAAAGATTCTGCTAGCAGCAGAGTTTAGCAGAACGGCAGAATTCGTCTTATAGAGCAGAAAACTTTATAGAGCAGCACATAGAGCAGAATTTCACTCATACGGTAGAATTCATCTATTTTTATCAAAAATATTTTCAAAATGCTAAAATAAATGTTGCAATTCTATTCGTCACAAGTAAAAAAACCCACATCTATGCTCTAATTCAACGATTTTTAATAAAAACTGCTCCATCTCTCAGAAATACAAAAAGTGCATCTATCCGCAACTCTACAAATCTACTATTTTGCTTCCCGAAAGTGCTCTGTTCGTTTTCCAATTCGACTTTTGTCGTATTTTTTTGTAATTGTTTGGTAATTTTTTGTCATAAATTTTAGTCATAAACGCTTGAATAATGAAAATTTTCTTCGAGCAGAAAAAGCAGAATTTTTTTATAAAGCAGAAGAGTTCGTTCTATGCCGCAGGAGAATTCTTTGAGGTTTGTAAACGGCCCAAAATTGATCTGTTTCATATTTCGAAAAAAAGATGCTCGAATCTGATTGGTTGAAATTACTGCCAGCGAAACAAAATCAGATTTTTTATTAAACACAGAAGCTCGTTTAACGATTCTAATAAGTTTGGGCCGTATATTAGAAAAGACCCAAAATTTTCACAAAAATTGCCTCAAATTTCAAATTCTCAAGTGTCGAAAGATGGTTGGGACTGTATCAATTTTGGCGTCGTTAAAATTTTTGCGAGACGATTTTTTTTTCAAAGAAGCGCTTATCAGTTCTATATCAAATACCATCACATCTAGCTCAATTTTACCCTGAAATAGCTAAAAATTTATACGACTTCTTCACCGAATTTTCAAGTATTCTCGTAAATTAGTTGAATGTAGAGGTCTTAAAAATATGAAGCCCTCAATCTTAAAACTGTAAAAAAGTTATTGCTAATTGTTTGCATCTAAAAAAATGTACAAAATAATAGTATCATATTCGAACAGTCTCTGTTGAATTATGGAATTCTTACAAAATTTTTGGAAAATGGGGAAAAAGCAGCCCGTTAAAGATATCCGATATTCATATTTTAGACATGAAAGATTCATTTCTTCCTGTTTTGAGGTTTTAATACTAGAGGGTTTGAAAATAGAATTTCCTATTTTTCACTTGTTTTACAAAAGAAAAATGGTTGCTAAAGTTTAGTTCAAATGACAAACTGTTGTGATTTGTTTTTAGTATCTTAAAATGATCTTCAGTATTTTAATTAATACCTGTTAAACAGTTTAGTCACGATCATTGGTCGATATGAACGAAAGTTCAGTTGTCCTTTTTAACAATCTTAATTCAACTACTTCCTTTTACCGTTTTATCCTTTTAAGCTTATATACATAACTTGTACATATAGAACCATAGAATTAGAATATTGGCCTAACAATACTCTAGAGCCACCGCATGCCTGGACCCAATGGAGCGACCAATTCCAATTGGCAATCATTGCGAAAAAAAATCTGGATTTAGAGAGCCTACATGGACTAGAAATACCGGAGACGCAAATTCCAATCTTGGAAAAAGCAACAGGCAGCGAGTCGGACGCGGAAAAAGCCAACAGAGAGAGCAGGAACAAAAGCGCAATGAAACAGTATGAATCCGCCGAAGAGAAACGGATCAACGAAGAAAAGAGGAAATTTAATGGAATGAGACGAATTTTATTTCTAGCCCTAGGGAGCGAAGGAAAAAGAGTTTTTACACAAAAGAACCCGAGAGTCAAGATTCTAGCAATATCATTTTCTGAGTTCTGGACTCTACTAGACGCAGCACTCAACAAACCGCCCAACACTACGTTCGAAAGATATAAACTACGAAATCGAAAGCAAAAAGACCGCGAGTCGTACGAACAATTCTGGGGAGCACTGACGGACCTGGCCAGCCCGTGCAACATCAAGGAATCTGACGAGGCGGAATGGATAAGGGATATCTTCGTTTGCAATATGAAGAACACAGACACCCAGAGGAAGCTACTTTCAGCTACCATAAGCCCGTCGGAAGCACTTAATCAAGCCCTAATTGACAAAAAAGGATATTTTAACCACCAGAAACTGACAAATATGTCACGGTCATCGACCAACGGGACAACTTTTAAATCTTTTAGTAACCACAATCATATCAAAAAGGAACGAAGTTTAAACATCAAAAGGAGTAACTCGTGCATGAAATGCTGGAATACATTTACGAAAGGGCACTTAAACGTTTGCCCAGCGAAGGACATAACCTGTAAAAATTTTAATTATAAGGGACACTTCGCCAAATTATGTAAATCACGCATTAAGAGACCAACTGTAAATACTGTATCAGATAATTATGTAAATACCGAGAATTGTACATACATACCTCCGGAAAACTCGTGGATGGAAGAAAAAGAATCGTGCGACGTTATAAATGCGTGGAACGAGTACGGACTGAGTGACGATAACGATTTCTCGGTGTTGAGCGTCAGAACTATTTACGAAAATAGTTGTCTCGAAACAAAGAAACTCCTGAACCTAGGCATCGGCTGGGATATGATTGTAAATATGAACATACCTGTAGATTCAGCAAGCCCTGTAAGTTTTTTAAAACAGAACGAACTACACGAAATTAAACTAAGATACCCGAACCTCAAGATACACCCTGTGCAGAAAAGAATAAAAGACCTATACTGCGGATTCACCAACGATACGATCAATATTTTGGGAAAAATAATTGTCAGAACACAGTCCAATGGGTGGATCAGCAAAGAAACCCCATTCTTCATAACCGGCGGACACGAGCGAAACATCTTGGGGAACGACAACTTACCCAAACTGGGCATAGAAATAACACAGAGGAAATGCCCCCAACCAATCTGCATGGTCAATCATCCCACACTCGAGAGTGAGTACAAAAACTTACCTTCTTTATCAGACAAAATTTTTAACGAGTTCAAAAACTTATTCACTAGAGTGGGGAAAATACCTAACGATCGAAAGGTAACCCATTTTCACACACCTTTTAAACCAATACAGTCCAAAGGGAGAAGAGTTCCACTCCACTAACTCGCGGGAGTGAACCAAGAATTAAAAAGAATGGGAAAAGAAGGCCACATAGTAAAATTAGAGAAATGCGACGAAGATTGTTTTATCAGCCCAATTGCAATCACTCGGAAAAGGATACTTCAATAAAACTGGCACTTGACTCTAAGCTATTAAATCAGAAAAATCCAACGGGCGAGTGTGGTTTAGTAATTTAGACCTGAAACACGCCTACAGCCAACTCAAACTATGCGATCAAAAAAGTAAACAGTGCAATTTTAGCATAGTAGTGTCCCTTATAATTACAGTTTTTACAGGTTATGTCCTTCGCTGGGCAAACGTTTAAGTGCACTTTCGTAAATGTATTCCCGCATTTCATGCACGAGTTACTCCTTTCGATTTTTAACGGGATTTCACGGATTGGAAGACATGCCCAATGAATTCCAACGGGTCATGGACTCACTTTTGAAAAATATCCCGTTTACAAATTGTCACATAGACGACATCCTGGTAGCCTCGCGTGGATCCCTGGAAGAACACAAATCAATAGTGTATAAAATTTTATCAATATTAGATAAGAAAAACATAGCAGTTAAATGGGGGAATTGCGCATTTTTTAAATCTTACATCGAATGGCTTGGCTTCAAGATCTCAGGCGATGGAGTACGACCGTTGGTCGGTAAAGCCGACGCAATAAAAAATTTGCCAACCCCGAAGAATATTTCTGAACTTCGTTCATTTTTCGGCTCGATAAACCAATACGTAAATTTCGTCCCTAACTTATCGACGTTAAGCTCCCCTCTTCGACCTCTTCTAAACAAAAAATCGGTATACAATTGGGATACTAGCCATTCAATAGCGTTTGAGAAGTTAAAAGCGGAAATTGTAAACATTACAGAAAACAGCCATTTCGATGTAAAAGAGAAGACAAGACTGAAAACGGACGCTTCACATAACGGACTAGGGGCAACCCTAGAAGAATTACAGGACGACCAATGGAAAACAATCGCGTTTGCATCCAGATTTTTAAATAACCATGAAATGAAATATTTTACCAACAAATTAGAGTTGCTGGGAGTCGTATGGGCTACAGAACATTTCAGAAACTACCTGTACGGAACGGAATTTCAAATAGTAACAGATCACAAAGCATTACTATCAGCACTTTCGGCAAATCATGGAAACAAAACGATGCATAGCCGATTGACCCGTTGGGTAAACAGACTT